ACACAGCACAGCCTTTAATTCCACTCTACTGTCTAAAGTCAGAAATTCACACATTTTGTCATGTTTAACTTTCCCCTGCACATATTTTACTTCGGAAATATTCACCCATGAGTATTCCTCTCTTTCCTTTTATGAGCTTGTTCTGGGTTCTAGCTCTAAATCTGAAAGCTTTCTACATTGTGATTAGTAATTGAATTATATTTGGGCATTGAAATCTATGTTCCTTTGGGAGTTTAATTACTCCAAAAAGACTGACAAATTAGAGTAAACTTGGAACTGAGTAACAAGAAGATGAAGAATGAAAGACAATAGTATTTGCTTGTAAAGAACATTAATGTCTAAACAGAAAGAGTTTGGCTATCTAAATGGGGACTTAACTCCCCATAATTCTGTGGTCAAGTTGAATCTAAAACAGCACCAGGCTAAGAAAACTAGTTATTGGCTGACAGCACCAGGAGTCTATTAAAATCATTTTCTATGTAAAGATTCCAAGAAAATGTAATAAGGAGATTTATCTTCATCACTTCAGTCATTTGTTTGGCTATAAATGGCATTCTTCTAATTTCGACATCTCACATTCCTTATGGAGGGGTCTGGTCTTTCTGTAAACCTACACTGTTTCCATGTGATAAAAATTTACACACGGTATTAATTTCACTTGACTTGCCGTGTGTGTGTGTCTGTGTGTGTGTGTGTGTGTCTGTGTCTGTATGTGTGTGTATGTGTGTCTGTGTGTATGTGTATGTGTGCCTGTATGTGTGTGTGTCTGTGTGTGTCTTTGTGTGTGTCTGTGTGTGTGTCTGTATGTGTGTGTCTGTGTGTGTCTGTATGTGTGTGTGTCTGTATGTATGTATGTCCGTGTGTCTGTATGTGTGTATGTGTGTCTCTGTGTGTGTATGTGTGTGTCTGTGTGTGGTGTGTGTTTGGTGTATGTGTGTGTGTCTGTGTGTGTCTCTGTGTGTGTGTATGTGTGTGTCTGTGTGTGTCTCTGTGTGAGTCTGTATGTGTATGTGTGTGTCTGTGTGTGTCTGTGTGTGTGTCTGTGTGAGTGTCTGTGTGTGTATGTCTGTATGTGTGTGTGTGTCTCTGTGTGTCTGTGTGTGTATCTCTGTATGTGTATGTGTGTGTGTCTCTGTGTGTATGTGTGTGTGTCTCTCTGTGTATGTCTGTGTGTGTGTGTGTCTCTTTGTGTGTGTGTGTGTGTGTGTACAGGTTTCCACTCCTGGAAGTAGGTGAGTGATTAAGGCAGATGAATCCCTCAAATTGTTGACTTCTCTGCAGACAGAGCTCTTCATCTTAAGAGGGAGACAGAAGCTGTTTTCCATGTGGAAGACAGATTCTGAGGAGGACTCATCTAATCACATAAAAATGATGATGCATTGTAAATAGAATAGGACGCCACAGCTGTCTCATCAACAAACAGTGACCTCGTATTATGACTTTCTATGTAGATCATATTCAAGAACATGGGAAGGCTGGGCACAGCGGCTCACTCCTGCAATCCCAACACTATGAGGCAGAGGTGGGAGGATTGCTTGAGTCCTGCTGAGTAGCTGGGACTATAGGCAGATGCCACCACACCTAGCTAATTTATTTCATTTTTAGTAGAGATGAGGTCTTGCTGTGTTGCCCAGGCTTGTCTTGAACTCCTGGGTGACACAGCAAGAGCCTGCCTCAAAAAAAAAAAAGAGAGATTATTTTCACTGAATAATTACTCTGAATAACAAGAGTAATTCATTGTTAGCTCTTACTCACAGCCCTAGCACCGTTCCTATGCCCTTAACAGCCCTGCAGCCATCACTCATCTCACGGGATGTTCACGGAGCTGGAGCTGGCTGGGGCACATGGTCCTGCTTGTCTCCAGAGCAGTTATGCTGTCCTTTCTAATGAGTGTGGGGATGCTGAGGACCTGGTTCATTCATCACAGCAAAAGTGTGTTTGGGTAGGAATGCTGACCCAGGTCACACCCCAGAGCTCAGCTCTGACCACCATGCTAGACTGCCTCCCTCACCACTGGAAAAAATTCATCTGTAGTTATTCAGTAAAAATAATCTCTCTCTCTCTCTGTTTTTTTCTGAGGCAGGCTTTACTGTGTCACCCAGGAATTCAAGACCAGCCTGAGCAGCATGGGAATATTTCACCTCTATTAAAACTAAAATAAATAAGCCAGGTGTGGTGGCACCTGCCTATAGTCCCAGCTACTCAGGAGGCTGAGGTGAGATACTCACTAGAGCCCAGGAATTGGAAGCTGCAGTGAGCAATGATCACACACTGCACTCCAGCCTGGACAATAGAGCAACACCTCATCTCCCAAATGAAAAAAGGAACATATGAAGAGTTTATTAGATGGTATTTTCCGCAGTGTCTAACTCTGTAAATAATGAATGCAAATGAGGGTTGTGTTGAAGGATGACGGTGATGATGACATGATTCCTGGGAGCGTGCATCCTGCTCATTACATGCAGGGCTTCATGTGACGCTCACAACAGCATCCAGAGGTGGACGTTGCTTCACCATTTAACAGAGATCACCTGAAGTCACCAAAAATGACATATCACAGCCACTCTGTGCAGGTCCTTGCCCCTGTTCTGTGTCACTTTAGGGGCTGGCTCATGACCGTCCTGCAGAGGAAAGGAAAGAGACCCCCATGGTAATCACAACCTGCATGACTATCATAGCCCCATCAAATTCCATGCACGAGTGAACAAGTTCTCTCTCTCTCTCTTTTTTTTCGAGATGGAATCTTGTTCTGTCACCCAGGCTGGAATACAGTGCTTCAATCTTGGCTCACTGCAACCTCCGCCTCCCAGGTTCAAGCGATTCTCCTGCCTTAGCTTCCCAAGTAGCTGGGATTACAGGTGCGCACCAACATGCCCAGCTAAGTTTTTGTATTTTTAGTAGAGAAGGGGTTTTACCATGTCGGCCAGGCCAGTCTCGAACTCCTGATTCACCCACCACAGCTTTCCAAAGTGCTGGGATTACAGGTGTGAGCCACTGTGCCAGCCCTAAGTTCTTTAAAAAAAAATTTTTTTTAACTAAATAATTTTTACTTTAGTGAGACAGAAATTGAGCCCATATTTTCCCTTTTTTCATTAGCACACTTTTGACATTTTCAGAATGTTTATGTAATTATCCTTTGGTAAAATTAAAAGTCTGTATAGTTTTTTTTAATAAACACAATCTTTTCTAACAAAATTTCCCTTTAAGAACATAATAATTAATTCCAAAGGAGAAAAACTCCAGTAGACACAGAGAAGCGGCAGAATAAATATTGACAGACAAACAGCGTGTAGTTTGGCTAGCTGCCTGAAATCCTTTCTCAAGGTGAGCATGGAGGTGTCAGACTAGGAAAACTAAACACAGAAAAACATCCAGGAAGACAGCTCTATGGGAAAAGAGGCAGCTATTTACCATAGTACAGAAGCTATGACTGGGGTAGAGAGAATTAAACTTTGAACACCACCAGAGCATCACGAACTGTCTCCGTCATTAAGGAGTGCACACGAGCAAGAGCGATCAGACAATGCATAGTTCCAGGAGCCTTATTTTTCTGAAATAGGTTCAACATGAAAACGTTTTTAAGGAAAAAACAATATCAAATGTCACGCATTCAATTCCATTTGTACAATGTTAGGATGATTCTCTGAAAAAGAATTCAACTGCCATAGATAGACCTTTTAACAAGCGGACTCCTGAAAAGGTGTGCTCTCACTCACAGTCCCAGCACTGGTCCTCTGCTCCCAACAGTGCTATAGCCATCACTCATCCTGTGGGATGTTCATGGAGCTGGAGCTGGAGCTGGAGCTGGCTGTGGCACATGGTCCTGCTTGTCTTCAGAGCAGTTATATTGTTCTTCCTGATGAGGGTCATCCAAGACAGCTAACGTGTGTTTGGGCAGGAATGCTGACCCAGGTTACACCCCAGAGCTCAGCTCTAACCACCATGTTAGACTGCTCCTTCACCACCGGAAAAAATTCATCTGTAGTTATTTATTGAAAATAAATCTCTCTCTCTGTCTCTCTCTCTCTCTCTCTCTGAGGCAGGCTTTTGCTGCATCATCCAGGTGGGAGTGCAGTGGTTCAATCATGGCTCGCTGCAGCCTTTATCTCCTGGGCTCATGCGATCCTCCTATCTCAGCCTCTCGAGTAGCTGAGACTACAGGCACATACCTCTATGCCCAGCTAATTTTTTAAATGTATTATTTTTGTAGAGACGGGTTCTCACTCTGTTGCCCAGACTGGTCTCAAATTCTCAGGTTCAAGTGATCCTCCCACCTCAGCCTCCCAAAGTGTTAGGATTATAGGCAGGGCTCCCAACAAATTAATCTTTAACAATTTCATGCAAAATGCTTAGGAAAACAAGAAAAATGTACAGCAAGTAGCTCTACTTCTTTGCATTAGCAAATTCTGGGTTAGAAGTTAAGTATGAATTACGCTTTGCAGCTTTCCTGAATGGAGACATGGAGCCACTGTGGACAGCAGCTTGCAGAGGAATTTTGCCTAAACAGGACCAAGCGCTTTTTCCTTTCTTCTTTTTCGATATGATCCCTTGTCTTAAACTGGCCCATAGAATACTCCATTAACCCCTTCAACAATCTGAACTCTAACAGAGATTGTCAAAACAAAAATAAAAACAAACTTTCTCGAACTCGCCATGATAAAATAGTGCTATATTCTTTCTGAATTTCCAAAAAAATTATTATGAGTTTCCAAATGTTTTATGTTACGCAATCTTAACAGCATTAGATATAACTATTAAAACAAAATTAGCCATTGGCTAAACTTTACCATTAATATTATGGGATCTGGTTTGGAAGATATTTTGTGCCAAACACAAGCAAATAAGAAAAATCTATCAATGGTCTAGAAATAGGAATGTGATGCGTTTAGTCTGCCAGGTTGTATTTTGCAAGATAGGTGCGATGCCTCACAGAACAGGAGAGAACACTCTTGGTCTAGAGGCAGCATTTGACCTGCCGCAATGGCTGCTGGGTTTTGCAGGTTCCTGCCAGTTAGTCGGGCATGATGACAGCAGTCATGCCTTCTGCAGAGGAACCGTGAGGAAGAAGCAAGATGCATCGCCTGAGGGCATGTAACAAGTGCTCAGTGGCTTTTGCTGGGAGAGCTTTGAAGAGCGGTGGGGAGAAGACAGTGAGATCCATTTGGTTACAAAGGGCCATGCGGTCTAGAAGGACACACGGTGTGGGCGTAAGTATTTTACAGATCACTGTGCATTAAATACTTGTTCTTCACGCAAATGTTTCAATGTTTTAGTATCATTGGAGGAGCTGTTTGACAGGATGATTATATGATTGCTGGGTAGTTCTTAAAAGCGATTACAGGATGTATGTTTCATGTCCTCAGAGAGCTTAATGGGTTTCTTTTTACTCTCCTCTAAGTCCCACCCAGATATCTCCTGACATATCCTGTAATTCCAAAGGAAATAAGACCACAAGAAAGATAAAACTGTATCTGCCCCTGGTGACACAGAGGATTAGCCATCGTCCCATGTAGCAGCACCTGAAATTTAGCTCATGCCTTTCAGTGAGCTCAAGGAGAAGCGCACTGCTTTCCCCTCTTAATTGAAGTTTCTTAGATTTTCATCATCTTCCCCAATAGAATTTACCCAAAGGAACCAAGCTGTCAGTCACACTACATGAGGCAGGACTGAAAAAAATGTTTTAACTTGGCTGGAGCTAATTATAGAGCTCTCAGAGTGCAAAGACCGAGGGAGGTCATCTAGTTATCTGCTGCCACAGGCAACCCACCTTAACTGCCCCTTAACTAATTAAAGACATCCCTAAAACTTTTCTCTTCGTCTTTTCTTTCAGACTGTTGGGGGTTATTCCCATTTTGTAACCTCCCCAGTAGCTCCAGTGATGCAGTCAGGCCTCTGTGTTACTCATTCCCATACTCAGCCTCCGATGGACATTGCATTGGGCATTCATGTTACCTCAGCACACTGAAGACTCAGAAGGAGGGTGTCTGATAACAAAAGGAATCTGAATATTTCACAGTCTTGCTGCTTTTTGACATCTTGAAACTATGACTACAGCTTTCCCCCGTCTTGTGAGGGTGTATGCTTTGTATTACATTGTAACAGTCTAATGCAGCATTTCTTAATCTGTAATCCATAGAACTGTAATCCATAAAACTTATGCTGAGGATATGCCTTGAGAAAACTGTTCCATGCACCTATAACTGTGTAAAAAGTGGGAACAAATAAAGATGAGAGAACCAGTAAAGATATGTTTCTACTGGAGGAGTTCTCACACTCATAAATACATTAACATACATTATAGACACCCAAGAAGAAAGTGGAAGGCAACTTTTTCAAAACACTTTTCTTTATTATGTTGTAAAGGGAAACACTGAGCTTTGTAAAACTACAGTTCCAAGAATTATATTTTATAAAATTTCCTTCAAAATATGTATTGTTTTACAAAAATGTGGAACCAACCCAAATGCCTATCAATCAATGAGTGGATAAAGAAGCTGTGGTAGATAGATGGATAGATAAATATATATATATATATATATATATAGATAGATAGATAGATAGATAGATAGATAGATAGATAGATATAGATATAGATGATATAGATATAGATATTCCATCATATGTATATAATGGAATTCTACTCAACCATAAAAAGGAATGAATTAATGGCACTCACAGCAACCTGGATGGGATTGGAGACTATTATTCTAAGTGAGATACCTCAGGAATGGAAAACCAAATATAGTATGTTCCCACTCATAAGTGGGATCTGAGCTATGAGGATGCAAAGGCATAAGATGATACAATGGACATGGGGATTCAGGAGGAAAGGGTGGGAAGGGGGTGAGGGATAAATGACACAAATTGGGTTCAATGTATACTGCTCACGTGATGAACACACCAAAATCTCACAAATCACCACTAAAGGACTTCCTCATGTAACCAAATAACACCTGTTTCCCAAAATCCTATGGAAATAAGAAATGAAAAATAAATGCACTAAATTGAAAAAAACGTATATGTTCAATTTTTGTTTGAAACAGCACTGGCTAGAAAGCTGGATTCAGGACGGGTCATCAGGGTGGCTTCTTGGGGAGCGAATAGAAACTCAATCCTAGCAATGTCATGAGGAGAGAAGAGCACGTCCACCCAAACTGCCCTGGAGGAGAACGTTAGGTGGGGCAGGAAGGCCTGTGCCGATAGGCACGTGGAGTGGGAGGTGAGAGCCCCCAAGTAACTTGTTTCATAACAGAAGGGCAGACTGGTGAGCGCTCCCACGACCTCGTACACCTTCTCCTTTAAATGGATGTTGACCAGATGTCTACATAAGAGACCCAGGGACCCTGAGGCTCTGATGTCCACAGCGGTCATCTACTGTCTTCCTCAACGTGAAGGTCCAGGTGGGCTCTGCTACACTTCTGCAGTTTTCTCTTTCCCACTTCTAGTCGTCCGTCTCTTCATGGACACCTTTTATGTGAAGCAAGTGATAGAATTGGTAACATCTCTAAATAGTAAGGAGGGCTTTGCTCTTTCCCTACTGTATTTGAACCCAAGCCTGGAACATGTAATCCACTAACTCTCATACTCACCCTCAGTTTCTTCTTTCCTATTGTATCTCTATGGAAGAAAAGACTATTTTCAGGTACTCTTCACTTCACAATTACTTTAAATTTTAGCATTATTAAATATCTTATTTGTAACCACATCTATAGAGAATCAAATAATATCTCTTGAAGCCTAAGTGTATGAAAATTCCAATATGCTGCCAGTCTATAAAATAAGCATTAATATATTACTACTTTCCCACAGTGAGAAGCGTTTCGTAAACATCACGTGTATGTAGCCACGTTCCATTGTAAACTCCAGTTTTAAATTGGATTTGAGTCCCTTAAGTACAGTGCCTTTTGTCTTATTTTTACTTCTTTTTACTCATGCCTCACTCAGTCCACAGTCAATGAGGATTTCACCAAGTTGGAAAGAGTGATGACTTAAAATTTGGAGAATCTACTCTCCAAAATTGTAGGAAATAGTTTTATTTTCCAAAGTGGGTTTTATTGAGTTCATGGCTCAGAGAAAGCATCGATAAGGTAAATATCTATACTCAGAGGATACTTTTTCCCTAATCTATACTGGTCAACTACCTTGTCCATAAATATGATGCTGAATCTGCAGATCACAGACATTTACTTGTGCGGCGTCACAACTGGAGAAATAGTCACTGTTCTTGAGAACTTTGGTTTTGGAGGTTTCATTTTATTACTGGAAAGCTCGCTGATTTGTTTCTTCACTTGAATGGTTTAGACTTTTGTAGACATAGCCAGTGTCTTTAATGTAAAACTGGCTGGTGGTGATTTGCTGGTGATGAAATTATCAGGACAAGTGACAAATAGAAAAAAAATGGACAGCAAATCTCTCAAAATAAGACCTTAAAATGTGTTATTAACTTACCTCCTGAGAGTTTTTGACAAAAACTCTTTTTGTCATTGTTATAATTGCTGCTCAGCATTATAAAGTGGACAAAGTAACAGGTCACTCAGCCTACGGTTGTTTAGAGAACGAAGAAGGCACAGGCAGTAAAGGAGCTAACACAGTACCATCATCACTCAACAAACAGAAGCTGTGTTATTCCGGCTGGAGGCATTACCGTAAGTGACAAATCTACTTTGTAATTTAGAATCACGAGTAGTAGAATCATTAATCTTTTTTCTTGCTTACCTAAATTCTACAAAAGTAACACAAAGAAATAAAACCAAAACCCAAAAGTCAAACTTTCAATTAAATAAAATTATATTTTGAATATTTCAAGATATTTTAATCCTACAGAATATGGGAAAGACTTGGGAGGAGAATGCACGAATGGTCTGAGCTGCCCTCCCTGTGGGCAGGGGCCCCATTCCCCTCTCCACCAGCCCTTCCCACCCAGGCGCCATGTCTCTCACGGCCCACAAACTTGAACTTCACTCATTCTAGAGCTTTCACTGACTGCCTCTATCATGACTTAGATTCTTAGAGATTTTTCTTTCCATTTCCACATTCAAATTCCTTAAGTAACTCTAGGAAATGTCTCCTAACTCATCTGCTATCACCATCCCTCTCATCTGGTCTGCCCTTCCGTAATTTAAATCTTGATATTTTAAAATACCATCCATCATATTGTGGGTCCATTGCTGTCATCTGGCTCTATTTGTTTTTTTCCTTCGTAACACTGCATGGGCCATGCAGTCACAGATGTCCCTCTAGATAACAGTCTGACGTGAGATGTGCCCCGGAAGGACCGTAACTAAATTAGATTTATTAAGTATGAAAATAACTCACAGAGTGGGAGTGCTGGTTAGAAGTTGTCTTCCAGGAAACTGAGAGCTTCCTCGAGTTACGCTGATGCTTCTGTGATCTTTGCCAATCACTCTTTCTCTTCCACAGGATACCTTTAACCACCATCGTCCTTTTCCCTTGATGTATGTATTTTACATTGGGAAAGAACCTCACTTGATTGTGTTTCTAATACATCTTCTCTGGCTAGGTTTTACTTTTTCCTTTCTCTCTTTTTTTTTTTTTGCTTTGAACATGAAATAAAATACAACCTTTGAAAGGCTATTCATCTGTCTTCAGGAAAGGTCATGGGAAAAATGGCATAGAATTTTCTAATGGTTCATCTATCAAAAATGCAGCTCTCCATTGATTCTTCCTGAATTGTCAATTTCCAAGCAGCCTCAGGGATAAGCCTCATTCTGCGAGACGAAATCCTTGATAAGGAAAAAGATAAAGTGATAAATGATTTTTCTGGTCTTTTCCTTTGGGAATGATAGCCAGCTTGCTCTTAGCCTCAGGCAATAGCCGTTCATGAGCTACCTTCACACAAGCAGTTTGTGATGATAATGATAATGTGAATTGTTCAATAACGGTCTCAGCAAAAAAAAAAAAAAAAAAAAAGTCACTACCAAAATATCAAACCCCTGTACATGACTGGCCTTGGAGAAAACTAGCAAAGCTCAGAAACAAACTGACTTAAGGGACATGGCCAAACACAGCATCATATGTTGGCCAAATGCAGCATTTTAAATGAACTGGAGATATGATAACAAAATAAACATCCCGTCTGGGTCTATGAGCCAATAAACTAATTCTCAGTAAATATCCTAAATTTAATCACATCTAGTGCTAAGAAGAATGATATTCAGTAGAAAAAGATGACTAAGAAATAAACTAAACGGGCCATTTGCATACGATACTATTGAACATTTTGCAGCTACTTATCAACTTGAAAAGCGTTTTGATAAATACAGCTCTATCCCCTGTTCGCCGTTTATCCTCGTTTTCACATCACCATCCAGGAGGGTGCCAACATTGCTCAGTGTTTGTTCAAGGTTTGACTGTTCTAGATTCAAAATTGAATGTTGTGTTGCCAAACTTCTGGGTTACTAACAATGATATAAGCATAAGATGAGCATCAGGTGATATTTAACAGGGGACACTAAGTCCTGGGGTATCAAAATCAGTGTGGCCGTTTCTGTAAAAGAGCTCGTGGTCTCTGTGATACAGACAAGTAACTAGGCATTCAGAATGCAGTGTGATGGATTCTAAGAGAGAGAGTGGAGAACACCTGAGATGGATATGTAGAATGGCACAAATCCAGGCTCAAGAGAGTGAGATGGTGAAGACAGTGTGAAGTCCAGGGTGACCTCCAAGAGCAAGTGACAATGAGCCGGGGAAGCATAACACACAGGCATGCCCATGTGCACACACACCAGACAGTAGCAACACACAGGATGCACATGCAAACACAGCAGGGGCATGCACACGTACACATGCATGCACCACAAGCACAGGCATGCAAATACTTAGTGCACACACAATGCATACATACAACATGCACACAAACACATGCACCCATCACAGATATAAACATAATGCACATGAACACACAACATAGTCATGCACACACACCTCATGCAGGTACCTACCACACTCATGCAAATGCACACACAAACACGTGTGCAGACATGGGTACATGGACACATGTACACCCAACAAATATGCATCTATTAAAACACATCCTCATAGATGGACACACATGCATACATAAACAACAGGCACACATATGTGTATCACCATACACGTGCATGCAGCACACATACACAACACATGTGCGACACACAGACCTACAACACGTGCACACAAATATCACATACCTACAATACACATGCTGTGTGCACAACATATACATGCACATGTAACATATGTATGTGCTACCCATAACACATATGTAAGATGTGACAGAAAGATGAATGACACACATGTGTATATCAATCCACAGGCACCCACACACAACACACATGCAACACACACATAGACACGCACCACAAACATGCACATCCACATGCACACATAGAGATGAGAACGGAGGAGCATTTTGGAGGCTTCCAACATACAAATCTATACACTTAGAGAAGAGGAGATGAGAGAGAGCATTACCCTGAAAGATCTTAAGTATTACTGGATTTCAGAAATGAGAAGTAGGTTGAGGCTGCAGTGAGCTGTGATCATGCCACTGC